CGCCTGCTGCAGCTTTAAGGGCTGATTTATAGGTGAAAACCTTCTCGAAATGCCTTTTTTATGTACATTTTTTAGCTATTTAACCATTTTCAAGGGCACAGATTCAATGTGAAACATCCTAATTACATATTCAGGTATAATAATCGACATTTTAACCAGATTTACTGCAGATGCAATCACACTGAGCTTTTTGACCTGCAGTGCTCATTGGGGAAACACACTTTGCGGGTGTTTGAGATCATTACTAAATGTTAAGCAGCTACATCACATTTGCAAAAGCAGCTTAGTGCAGGTTGCAGGAAAAAACAAACAAACGGAGTATGCCTGGTATGAGTTCTGTACACTGAGTGTCAGAAGATGCAGTTGTAGAAACAGGGTTTAAAATATGAATCCATCCTGTACATGTTTTTATTAGTAGATCCACCTTCAGGTAATCTCATTGATTTATTCTTCCTTCGTTTTTTTGTGTCTGAGAAGTTTGTGTCCTTCATTTCTTCTAGTTTTCGTTCATACCCATGCTGAGTTCAAGAGGGGCCAAAAAACGTGGGAAATTCCAACTTCCAGCTTGGAAAACCCACAGCAGGACGGTTATCAGGTCAAGTGGGAATGTCAGGGAGAGACCTGTATTATTTACACCAGTAAGCGTCTCTTTAAGTGAATCTGGAACTTGACCGGTTGTTTCTCTCCTCTCCCTTCATCATACCATCGTCTCTGAGCCCGAACCTTTCCCGGTGAAGAAGTCCCAGAAATTAGTGGTCGGCGACGGCTTGCTCTCCTCCTGCGGCGTCTGCCTCACCCAGATGCTGTTCTCGGTCGAGCCGCTCAGACTCGAGCTCAGAGAGAAGCTCAGCGCGGCGCTCAGACCCGGGCCTCGACGGTCCTGGGCATCCGAGTCCTGAGCGTGGAGCCTGGGGGTGGAGGACGAGGACAAGGACGAGGAAGAGAAGGAGGACTGGGATAGGCTGAGCAGGTTGTGGTGGGAGTGGAACTGACGCATGTGGCGGATGGATTTACCAGGAGGGACCTCACCTGCAGGACCAAGAACAGGACACGGTTTCAGAACTTGAAAGACAAAAACTATTTATTATCTTAAAGTTGTGTAACATGAGTCATAGAGTGCTGTGAAAAGTATTTGCCCCCTTCCTTCCGGATTTCTTACATGTTTCAGATTGCCAAGCAAATTTAAGATAGAACAGGTTAAAAACAACTTCTGTGTCAGCATCGCCCACTGTCACTAGGGGGTGCTGTCGGCACACTTATCGTTCCCACAAACGTCCACAACCTCCAGCACCCAGCGTGTGGTCTGTGTTACATTACACTGCCCTCAGAGATACTTTCACACATGGTGGTGAAACTGCAGAGCACTGTTTCAGGGTTTTCTAAAGACTCCTGTCTCAGGCAGGAAATTTACCTAAAAATCAACAACTGCTTGATCCAAGGATCACAGCTGAAAACCTCAAAACCTTGCTTTGTGGTATCGTTCCTGCTCCTGTCATTAATCTAAACGTTTTAAATGTTGATTTTTCTTTTGAAAGAAACAACTTTAAATGAGAAATTCCTTCAGGTCTTCAGAGCCTCACATTCACAAAAACTCAAGCAGACTAGTACCGTATCTGGTGTCCTGCCGCTTCCTGTTCTGGTTCAGTTTGAGGACGTTCAGGAAGACCTCGCTGGTCAGGCTGCCATCACCGCCGCTCCCATCTGGGGGGAAAAGCGGTGACGGGGGCTCCAGTGGGGACAGGCTGCCGCTGGAGGCTCCCACTGAGTCCAGAGACGCCCCCGTGTCCCTGCGACCGGTGGACTCGCTGCCGCTCTCCACCGTCAGGTGACTGCCGCTGTGACAGAGCAGAAACCCACACGTTAAACTGAAGCTTTCTTAGTACGAACATAATCGACACCAGATCTGATGACGGCTGATCCACTGACTGTCACGGTTACCTGAGTTTCCTACGCAGCAGGTAGTCGATGATGTCCGGGTCGGTCTGGATCAGACTCATCAGGACCTCCTGCTGCAGCTCTGCAGAGACCTGCAGGAACACACATCAGATTCAAGCATCACTGAAAATAATTAGCATCTCCAGGACGGATGGAACATCACAGCTGTCTGGTGAGGGGGAGTCACACTGGGAAGTCACAAACAAAAGATAAAAAGGGTGTCCAGGGTCGCCAGGACATGAATATTTAGTCTGACACTTTGAAACCATGAGCACTAAGTATAAGCCCTGATTTCAGAATCAGAGTTTCTCAGATTAACATAGTGTTAATGAGAGAGCCTCCTCTGCCCTGAGGGGCAGCCAATCAGAAGAAAGTGAACTTAGAGAAAGGGGAGGTCAGGTATAAGATAAATAAGGACTATTGTGAACTTTGCAAAGCTGCTCTAGTAGAGTCCAAGAATAAACACGCCGAGTTGGAAATGAGCGTAACATAATAAAAGATTTCTGAATCACTTCCACAAATGACTGAAAGAACGCTGTGTGTTTCTAGTACCGTGAAGAATCTCCTGTGGTTCTGTATGAGCATCAGTGTGACGCTGATGATCGCCGTGCTGTCCTCGATGCCCATCACCTGCGGGCTCACGTCTCCCCCGCGCTCCTTCTGAAGCAGGTTCGGCCCGAAGATCACGGCCAGGTTAGCGGCCGTCATCTTGTTTCCGGGGATCTGGAGAGCAGAGGAAGAGGAGGCGGTGATGGAGGTCAAAGTGCAGTGATGGAATATGCTGTGGT